GGGGTGTCACTGATCAGATCCTGACTCAGTAAAGATTTTGACAGGTGGTTCCTAGGGGAGGAAGCGCGGCCATGCCTAGATTAATGTAGTAGCCAGCACTGGGGTCATTCACAAAGCCATGGAAAAATGCTGCCCTGCTGCTTGCATGTTGGACGCACAGTTATACCAGCCTTTGGGTCCCTGTCATCCTCACAAATTGGATAGATAGCAGATTGGAAACTATGGAAAAGTTATGGATTCAAAAGAGGGATGTGCATCTTCAGAGGCAGAGAGAAACTTGGACAGATCCGGAAAGAGGCAGAACCCCTCCACACTCACTGCTACTCCAGGTAGAACAAGAGGTGCACGTGTGTGGAGCGTGGTGTTTGGGACTTGAGCACTTTTCACTGTGGGTTGGACAGGGCTGCAACAATATCTCACCATGGACAAGGCTTCAATGACGCGAGATTTGCACTTTTCAAGACATTTCAGTCACAGGATGGAGAAATGACCTCAGTGATATCTCCCATTTAGTTGGCCCCTGGAAACTCCTCCAACGCACTTTGGCGCAAGATATTCATTGTTTTGGGGGAGTTTGCCACTGTTTCCAGCTTTTCATGAACAGCACAAGAGCCCTGTAGGAAACCCACCTGGACTCCTAAGATCCCAAAGATGATGAAGAAGGCACAGCAGATGACCACAATGTTCCCAATGGGTTTAAGGGACGACATCAGAGTTTCCACCACGAGCTTCAGTCCTTGCGCACGACTAATGACCCTTGGGGGGCAAATGGATAGAAAAGCCAGTTAACCCCATCTTTGCAAAGCTCACCTGAAACCTTCCATGTGACACAAGGCACACAAGTAAAAGCACAAGAAAAACAGCTGTTTCAAACAAGGAGTGGCCCAAACCCAAGAAGTACAAGCAGCTATGGAAGAGGAGACCCCTCAGAGAGGCTGGAGGAGCTTGTATATGGAGAGAGCAAGAAGCTAGTCATGTACTTACAGCCAGCTCCAAACCTGCTTAAATCCACATAAAGGCTCCCAGTAACTACAGTGGGCTTTGGGTCAGAGCCACAGAAAGGAAAATCAAGAGGCGGCCCCCTGCTTCTTTCTAGCACCGAGTTACATACACCAAACCTGCCCTTTTGAATCACCAAAAGGAAGGCCGATCTAATTTTAGTAACTTCTGCCTGTATAGCACCCTCCCCTCCACCCTGCCTGAGCAAGTCTTTTGTTTCCTACCTGACCATTTTGCAAAGCTCTCAGTTCTTGCATTTTCTTGCAAACAGATTTGGCACCAGATTCCAATCCCAGACATCAGCTGTGGTCCCGTTGGCCTCTTCACTGATGCCAGAAGAGGAAATGATTGTTTTAATCTAACCTGCTGTCACTGCCTGATCCATTTCCTAATCTCCATCTTCTATCTAGCACATAGGCAGTTAGGACATAATTTCCAGCCAGTCCCTCAAGCTTTACTGCCTTCTATTTATCTATAACCATAACCATAGTTTTCAACCTGTGGTCCGCAGACTGTTTCTAAGAGGTCCACGAAAGATGATTATGATGAATCAGAAGCCTAGTTTTTCATGTAAACACCCACACTTAAATTCAAAGGGGTCCACACCTCCACTTGTTGTTTCCAAGGGGGTCCACAAATGAAAAAAGGTGGAAAACCACTGGTCTGTAATTAAACAAGTCACCTAAGGTCCAGTCCAGATCCCACCTCTCTTTTAAGCCAGCTTTAGTTTTAGGCCACAAATGTACGTACTTCTGTATGCAGTATGAACCGGGGGATGCGAATATCAGGTTAGGTGCCAGATTTTTCTGAGCTTTAATCCTGGTTTCAACCAGACACGATCTCCCTACCTTTGTGTCTCCATCTGTGAAATGAGGATAGCAACCTTTATAACTGCCTAGTGCACAGGGGTGCTGGGAGGACTGACGAATGCCTGTGTCATCTTGAAGGGCTGTGACCCATGGCTAGGTCTGAACAGGACTGGCCCTAGCATGGACTCCCAAGCTGCCCCGCTTCCTACCTCTGCTGTTTTAGACCCATTCCACCCTATTCTGTGACAGCACATATTCAGTCATTCCTGTTGTCTAGCCCAGAGTTTCACCAGCCGGGCAATAATCAATTAGCTTCATAATGAGAGAATCTCTCTAGCACTGCGCAGGATTTCATAACTGTAGATTAGATTATTCTGTAGGGTGGGGGCTGGCTGAAGGAGGGGTGGTGGGGGTGGTGGTGGTGAATGCACAAGCAATCAATAGCCAGACAGAAACAGGCTGAGGATGGATTTGTGCCACTTCATCGAGGACCTTAGTTCAAGGACTGTTATGCACATTATAAAAACCACTGAGTCATTTGGGGTCAGACTGACCACAGTATTCAGCACTTAAAGATGCCTAGTGGAATACAAAGTAGCACCCTAACAGGGTAGGTGCTTAATTCCCATTGAAATCAATGGGTGCTAGACATTTGGGATCCTATGACCCCAGCTGACTTCCTGCCCTTTGGGTGGGGGGCTGGACTCGATGATCTTCCGAGGTCCCTTCCAGCCCGAATGTCTATGACATCTGTGAAATCTGATTCACTTTGTAAATTGGGTCCTTACAGCCCAGCAGCTGACATGGATCCTGCAAAGTGTGCGCACACCAAGTGATGCCATTAGGAAGCAAAAATGCCCACTAATCTCCCTCTCTGCCCGACTATGCCCTCCCCCCCCCCGCAGGGTACACATGACAGTGCTGTTTGGCTTTAACGCAGTGCATAAGAGCCCAGAAGCTGCGCTCTCCAAAAGTTGGGAGAGTCCCTCGAGTGCCTTTGTGCCTGCCGAGTGAGCAAACCGCAGTGCTCAGTGCACACGCATAAAATGACGGCTTCATTTCCTTTCGGAACGGTTGGTTTTAAACTGTATCCTGAAAACCTTAAAAAATATTTCCCTCTTTCTGGTTAAATATTTACTCGAAATGTCAAGGGTAGCTTGTCAATTACCCTTTTAAAAACAAAACAGATGGCGATATTATTTTTATCCATTCCTCTACCAGCAACACACAAAAGGCAGATGCTTCTGTTTCCCAACCTGGCTTGCTTTCTCAGGTAGCTGTTCTGGTTACTCGCTGGATGCTCTGACTTCCTGCCTGCTCAGATCTCCTTGCATAAGAGGGGAAGGCTCAGGAAATGGCAAACACTTATGGCATCTTTCACTTGTAAGGCTCAGTGGACTTCTGCTCTGCCATCACTGCTGTGGCTGCTACCCGAGCTAGCTGTGAACAAGCTGCGCTGGCAGCAGCATAGCTCTGCCTGCCTGGAGCTCAGAGAGGGCTGCAAAACTGCCTGAGATAAATTAACCTACAAGATGCTCCACGTTATGCCGGCTAGACTGTCACCTGTATCTGAGCGAGTGACTTGAAAAGGCAACTTGGCTTGGTCTATGCTATGCTGCAGTCACTGCATGTAGACACACTTCAGAGTCCAATCAAGCGTCGAGTGGAGACAAAACAATCATTTCTTTCCGAGGGCAGAGTTCAAGTTGCCTGTGAAACTCAGTCCCATTTCTAGTGGGCAAGGGGCCATATCACAAACATTGTCTTACCTGGCACCTAAGCTGAAAGTCTCAGCAGACAAGTCAAGCCCTGCATGGGTCACAGAGGCTAAAACCCATCCTGGGCAGGGCTTAGGCACATTAATAGGAAGGTTTGTGCTGATGCACTTGGTTCAACTTTCTCCCACACACTAATACAACCTGAGCACTTTACAAATACTGCCATATTTGTCCTCACAACAGCCCTACTATTCCTGCACGACAGAAGGGAACCTGAGACCTACAAAGACAAAGGGACAAGTCCAAGGTCTCGGAGGGAAGTCACAAAAAGAAAAGCCAGCCTCCAGGGTCTTATTTTAGGAAATCTGACCTAAGTGGCAAAGGGCACGTGTTGGGAAAGATGGGTTAAAAAATTTAGGGCACTTGGATTCTTGCACACCTCTGCTCCATCAGACAACTGGTCAAAAACCATAATCCAGGGGTAAGACGAGGCAGCCTGCACAGCACCTTCTCTAATGTTTCTTTCCAGGCTGACAGAAAAGATCCTGAAGATTTTCAACAGGGGGAAAAAAATGTAATCTTCAATAATGAAAAACTTCACTGTCCTCCTAGCTTCACCTGACCGATCCAGTTTGAGTTGACAGCTTTCCAGTCAACAGAAGGACTCCCGCTGACTTCAAAGAGAGCGAGATAAGGCCCTAAAATGAAGAGCAAACTAAAGCAGCCTCAGCTTTTCTGAGCTCTTACTGTCAGCTTCAATGTGTCAACATTAACCACCCCAGCAGCCCATCAATATTGTCTGAGATCCTGCCGATAGTACTGCCTGCAAGCCCACGTTATCTGACCTACGGCTCTGCAACTGTAGGGCAGAGTGAGCCAGCTGGTTCCGGCGGGGTAGCCTCCTGAGGCTGCATTAAGGACAGTTTCAGTCTACATTAAGCATATGACAAATGGGGAAATTGAAGTTATAAAAGTTTTTTTCAGCATGAAAAAATGCTAATCCCCCCAGTTCCTCCTCCTTCTGCTGGCCTCAGCAGTCATAGTGCTTTGAAACTCCAAGTGTGCAGACACTCCAAAACCGCTGTCAATCTCATCTCTGCTGGAACACATTTACTAACTTTAAGCTTGCTAGTCTGATCAGAGCCCTGGTATAAAGAAGTGACAATTCAATGTGCATGCAGACTTTCCTCCATGGGTAGGGAAAAAAAACCCAGCAAAAGGTGATAATATGATAAAGAGGAAAGTGTCTACGGAATGACTATTTCATACTGCGACGGTATGAAGAGTGAATAATTTATCCATCTGCTTTGGAAGCCGAAGCCAAAGCTCTGACGAAAAGTAAGAGAGTGTTGAAGTCTGTCCAAATTAATTCTGAACACATTTTTAATTTTGATTTCTCTTGTACCTTAAGCTGTAGCGCTTGATCCCAACACCAGCAGGTTGAATGCGTTAGGAAGGAATGTCATCGAATAAGCTATTCTCCGAATGGCTGAAACATCAGACAGGGGCATGGAAATGTCTTTGTCACTTCTTTGTGAGGACATTTGCAGTGCTCTGAGCATGGAGCAAGACTCAAATACTTCTGCACTCAGTTTGGGGCCTGCTAATCAATCATGGACACATGGAATTGTGACCACACTATTCCACACGTGCAGATCAGACATGGGCGTGTGCCAATACACTGATGCACACAGCACACAGCCCTGGTCAGATGCACTAGAAAATAGTTGCTTTGTGGTTTTCTCAAAAAAGCTGAGCAAGCTATGAAAGGAAGCGGGGCATTTCTACAGAAAAAGAATCAGCAAAACCTTTATAAGCAGCAAACTGCCATAAGCCAAAGCAAACATAACAAAAAGCCTTCCTATGCCAAATCTTAACAGTCTTCAAAAGACAGGTGTACAGCCAGGGCTTCTCGCAGGCATTTTCCTCCTGTTGTTTCTCCCGTAATCATTCTTGGAGTCCTGCCCCAAACACCCACAGTCCAGTCCAAATGGCAGCAGCCAGCAGCTCACTGACAGGGACCTAGCATTAGCTCGAACCCCTATCATACAGTCATATTCGAAGAGCAGGCACCGAGAACCTAGGGTAGAAGTTCCCCGCCAAGGGCAGAGATCATAGACATTATTTAAGTCCTGAGCCAAGTGTTCATGGCTTAATGCATTTCTTATACTTATCTATTCTGGAGTGGCTGCCAGTCCCATTTCAGTTGAGGCTAATTCCCTAATCAATAAGAGCCACCGAGCCATTCAGAAAAAGCCAAGCCCAAGTCATACGACCAGTTGCACTTCTAAATCAGGGGTGGGCAATTATTTTGGGAAGAGGGCCATTTACTGATTTTTGGCAAGCCATCAAGGGCTGTATGATAGGCAGCCAGGGGCAGATAAATATTAATTTTCTAATTTTTTTTAGGGGCCCCACGGGCCGGATACAATGGCCTGTTGGGCTGCATCCGGCCCCCGGGCTGCATTTTGCCCACCTCTGCTGTAAACACAGGACCAATGCGAATGGTGGGGCTCCAAATGCAAAACCGACTGTGCTCCCACATGAGAAAACAAATAGGCAGGGGAGGGCATGGATAGTTGTGTCCATACATGCATCACCGTAAGTGCATATGGATTTCCCCGGCCAGAGATTTATGACTTACTGAAAAGTCCCTGTTTTAATGGCAGCTCTTTTATTGCCTACAAATCTAATTATGGAGGGACAGACCTGATTGCAAACACATTTAGAGAAGGCCTTAATTGCTGGCTTGTTCATGTTCCCTTTGTGCTCTCAAGAGTTGCACACAGTTAAGTCAATCGCAAACATCCGGGCATGCAGACAAGGAAATGCAGCACATGCCAAGGAGAAAGACACAGATGCCCTTGCAGGCTGGTAGCTTTTCCTCATGCAGAGAGTGCCACTGACTTCCCTGGGATCACTCCCATGCAGTTGCCTTACAGTTTGCAGAATAAGGACCCAATTAATTGAGACCCTGATGCTTGTCAGACTGACCCTTAGCTACAGACTCTCCCTGGGTATTTATAAAATGCTCTGGGACTGGAGAAGGGGAACCAGTAGTTCAAACTAAAATGAGAAGGATAATTATTTTACCCAAGGAAATCTCAATTACCTTGTATGTGTTCTTTGTACATATGAAAATGACAGAGGCAAGGAAAGACCCGGGTAAGTATTAGACTCAATTTCTTCTGCACATATGTTCTAACCCTGAAGCTAACAGCTTAATGTTTTCAATATCGAGATATCCTTTTCCATATTGTGAGACTTCCCTGCACCCTCCTTCCCATTTAGCAATATAACCAGGGCTGGGTGATCACGAGGCACTGACACTTCTTTATGACCTCCGCCCACTGGAGTCTGCAAGCCCCAAGGCTGCCAACCTGGGCTGTGAATGCATCTGGTTTCACGTGAATTTATGTCCCCTTTCCACTGGCCCTCTGTGAATAGTCTAGCAAACACACATCCTGGTGGGACTGTTCTCAGACAAAGAATTCCCCGGCAGCACTGGGGGACGTTTGCAGAGAACAAAGTCTGAATTGTTAATCGCAGAGATTCACCTGGGAAACCTGAGCCTAGGCCTTCTGACTATCCAAATCAGGGAACAGAGACCTATCAGGTGACCTACCTGTCCAATCAAAGCTAACTAGCACTGCTCAAAATCCGAAAACCTAATGCCCAACAGGGGCTTTGTGCACGATATAGATGAAGCCTGTTTTAATAGACGTTTTAGAAGAGGTCATGACCGTCATACTTGTTGTTCATGTTGCAGGCGGGGATCAAAAGCCGAGCCAGAAGCAGGGCCCCATTTTTCTTACTATGAAAGATGCATTCTGCCTTACAGCAAAACAGCAGCAGAAGGAAGGAGAAATAAGACACAACCCGCTTGCAAAGAGGTTGCGACAATGATCTGTTCTGAGTTACTACACAACAAGGGCAACCGGGATTGCATTAGCTAGGATATCGCACATGTTAAGAGTATAAACCCATGTGCTTCAGGGCACAAGCCAAACACTAACTGTCTGAGGTCAGGATAAAGCTCTCATTTAGGGTCGACTGCCGCACACTTGACCATTACAGGGTTTATTGCTCCATCCCCGAAGCCTCTTATGCTGGCCTTTGTAAGAAATGGAAAACCATGTTTGGAGAGACCACAGCTCTGATCTCGACTGGTAATTTGGATAATTAGTATACGAGTAGAATTAACGGGGGATTTGGAGGGAAAAAAAAATATCATCATAACATTTAAGGTTAAGCAACAGTTTGGTCTCCAAATCTTTAAAAATTAGCTGCCACCTGCTACTAATGTTCCTCTTTGTTACAAAAGCCATTGATTGCCTGAAGGAAGAGGGAGAAGGAGCTGTTAAGAAGCACTTTGCACAGAGCAAATGAGAGCACAAATAGCAGGGGATGTGTGTTTTAATGAGCAAAGGAGGCATTGATCAGTTTGCTACCACAGTGAGGCCTGCTCCTGACAATGCGCTCAGCGCCTGGAGCTCCCCTGGGCTCCAGCAGGACCTGTGGATGGCCCTGGCTTCGCAGAATCAGCCTGGGAGTTTGATGTAGAGCTGACGACAGGTTGCACAGAGCTGGAGGGTGAGACTGCTGGACAATTTCTTTGTTTCCTTTCTTGCTGGCCTATTCCATTATGCTTCTGAAAACATTTCTCTTCCTTGATGTGGCAGACTTGGGGCACTGATAGCACCTCCAAGCTTGCAGCCCCTTTACCATCTTACTTAGCCCTCACCTGCTACTTACCTTAATGGCCTGAGTGTTCGCAGGAGTCTCAAGACCCTCAGCATCCCAAGGATTTTAGTGCTGCTGTCTGATACCATTGAAACCAAGATGTCAATGACCGAGATGAGAACGAGCACCCCGTCGAGCACATTCCAGCTGCTTTTCAAGTAAGCCTTCTCCCCAAAGCACAAACCTAGTGCCACCACCTGCCCAGACAGCAAATTGCAAAAAGTTATGACTAATACACCCAATATGTTTTCTCTAGTTGGCAGCCTACAGCTAATGCATTATTTACAGATCCATGACTGCGAGTCCATTTGCTACCCAGTATAGAAACCTAATTAGACAATTTTGTTAAGTGTTATACTGCAAGGATTGTAAAAATAACTTGCAAAAACATCCCAGATTGTCCCTTAACAGCTGATGTATTTTTAACGCAGCTAAACCTAGTTGTGCAAAAGTGACTCTAATATTGTTGAGGTGTTGCGCAAAAGGTTTGATCACATGGTTGCTTCTTCAGGCTACTGGGAGAAAGGCGAGAGCAGCTGACCATTAGTGACCACTGCCCATCAAGTTTGCAAATAAAGACAACTGGGGATATTTCCAAATGAGACCACAATAGCTCTCAAGTAAGATGAACTACATGAGAGAGCAATACATTCCTGCCGTCCTTGGAGTCTGAATGTGGCTCCCATTCAAAGAACTATTTAAATACATGCTTCAGTTCCTTCGTCCTCAGCACAAGCCCATACAGGTCTTTATGTCATTGAGGTCAGTGGGACTCAGACATGTAGCTGACGTGAAGCATGTACTTAAAAATCATTCTTGAGAGCGGATGGAGAGATGAGTGGAGGCATCTCATCTCCCAGCAGTGTAAACTGGGGGTGGGGGGGAGACTTCGGTGGAATGATTCTGGTGCAAAATGCACTCAAAATAAGGTGCGTAGTAGAGAGTAAGTTGTTATTCAAAAAGGGGACAACTGTTTACATCTTATTCCCCAAGGTAAGTCAGATTTGGACATGCTGATCTCTGGAAAACTGGGAGGAAGGGTTTTCAAATTCCAAAGTAATAACACACTGCTAACGTAGCACAGTCAGGCTTATTCTTTGGCTTCATTTACCTTAACTGTCATCTCAGCCAGGAAGATTACTGTGAAGATGTAGTTGGAGAGTGTTAGGAAAATGCGTTCCTATAAAAACAAAAAAAAGAAGAAAACGAGAGACAATGTTTAACACTCTGGCCTTCAAAGCTGTAATTCCTGATATATATTTGGATGGTTACTTAAATGCTCTGCTTTTGTGCTGAAATATGTCTTGGATGGTTTGCTCCCAAAGAAGAAAAAGTCCAAATATTTATATGATAATACTTAAGTTGTTTATAGGGCCCCTTTGCTACGTTCCCTTGTGCCTGTCAGTACCAGGGACAGCTGCCAGCTTTCTGGACAGGCTATAGCTTCACCACAGGTGATGGGGGAAAATAAGTAAAAAAGAACAACAACTCAAACCCACACCGCCCATCTCTCACATGCAAGCCCCTCTTACAATGCTCCTTTTGGCCACTATATATTTCCCCAGGAATGATGCCATTCATTTATCATTCCCAGGACGCTCAGATGATTGCGGGTGCTTGAGAGAAGCAGGGAAACTTTTCTGATGATGAAAACTTTGCAGAAGTCTGCGAGTGGACCCCAGAGTACTTCTCAAACCTCATCAATCCACCAACACTCAGATAAGCTAAGTAAATAAGGTGCTCCCTATGCAGAAAGGCGATGGAAGACCGGCCGTGTTCAGCTGGGGTAAATCATAGGCAACAAAGCCACAGCAATTTCCCCCAGCTGAGGATCATACCCAAAAATGATTAATTCATTTGCACAAGGCCACAGGCAGAGCCAGGAGAAGAACCCAGAGGTCTGGACCTCCAATTCCCTGCTGTAATCACTAGGCTATGTTCTCCTTACTGCATTTATTCTGTGCAAGTAGCTAGTGATTGCAGATGAGACCCGTGGACTGATTCCTTATCTGTAACCAGCGGAAACCTCTCTTTAATGATGCTCATTAAATAAATTATACTTTCCCCTAATTCCTGTATAATCTCTGATTGCCCGTACGGTGAAATGGAGAGCTGGAGCGGGGGAGGGGAGGGGGCTGGTGGGGGGAAAGCTCGCGTGCACACATGCGAGGGAAACGTCTCGCTGTAACGCTGCCAGAGATTCTGGATTTATTTCTGCTGCTCCCTGCAGAGCCGTTCTCTAAGAAATGGAGCTCTCTCTCAGAACCAGCTGGATTTTGAGCAGCCAGAGAAAACACCATGGAAACTCTCCCTTGCCAGCTCATGATTTACTGAATGGGATACAGGAATCGCTAAGTAGCTTGTTTCTGTGCTGGTGTCCATAATTAATCGAGTCATAAGGGCCCAGACGTGATTGCATGAGCTGCGATAGAAAACATCCTCCACCTTCACTGGAGGGTGACATAAAATACCACTCAACAAGGTCTGCAGATGCCTAAAGACCTGCTTTAGGGGCTGCAGAGAAAAGGGTAATGGCAGCTAGAATCAATTAGGGACATTATGCTCCTTTTTTGGCGCATGTGCTGCAATTTTAAAGGGTAATCTCCACGGGCCACATCTTGTCCCTTCTGAAACAGGGAGCTCCTGCTGTCCAGAGACTGCCTCCCCTCCTCTGACAGGCCAGTGATAAGTGGGACAGGGAGCGAATGGCCCAGAAGCATTTAGAAAATCCATGGCCCGGGATGGCACAACACAATTATTTTAAACTGAAGCTATAATAACTATTTTGGTTTCCATACATGAGCTTTGTTGGATGGGGGTGGGCTACATGAACCCCTCCTCACTCCCCTGCTCCCTTTTGCTGCTCCAGTAGCATCTCCTGTGGCAACTCCCTTATCCTCTATCCTGCTCCCTGTCCTCAGTCCAGGTCATCTTGATCCCCAAATGACCCGTTTCAGCTCCCCCGGTTCCCACCCCAACGCTGCCGATACTTGGATGGACCTCTCCGACACTGATGCCTCTCCTCCATCCTCGCCTGCTACTTCAAAATTGCCTCCAAAACCTAGCAACATCCTTAGCACTGATTGCACCTGGGGTAGTCTCCATTCCCAGAGCCCCCTACCTTGGGCCTCACTGACTCCTCTCTCCTCCATCCAGATTCTCATCAAATCCTCTCATTTCTTGCTTTTGGACAGCATTCAAACTTCAGCTTCTCCTCTCCATCTCTATTGCTGTAATGCTTGTCCTTACCTGGGCCCTTGTGTGGCCCTTTACCTGGGCTGTCACACAAGGAACAACCACTCCGTGGACATCCAAGATAACAAAACACCTGTCTGTGTAAGCACCTGCGAATGGTGGGCCCAAGGAGATGCCATTGGACCAAAGAATCATTCAGAACTGGAAAGGACATGCCCAAACACTATGGGCCAAATCTGTAGCTGGTGTAACTTCAGTGGAGCTTATCCTCATTTAGAGCAGCCATGGATCTGGGCCGATTGCCGCGTGATTCAGCCAGGTCAAGCCCACATGGGAGTACTTTACACCTCCTCAGAAAGGTGGGACAGCAGAGAACCCCCTGATCTTGCTCCCTAGGCATCTCCAAAATACAAGGAGCTGTAGCAGAGATTTCCAAAATTGCCTCAAGGTGGTAAGCATGCAATTCCCATCAACTTTAATTGGGGCTGGGCAACCAAGCTCCTTGGCCAACTTTGGAAAGCTCAGCCTCTGCCAAACCCATGAAACCCACTGCCACTCTTGGGAGTCGCATGTCTGGAATCACAGGGTGATTCCCCTGAGGACATTTGCTGTTCAGGTTGCTCAGCTTCCACGGCTTCTTTAGCCCTGCACGGAAAGGGCAATTGTCTGAGCTTACGTGAGCACAGCAAGCCTGACCTTCCCAAGCCCGCTTTCTTTACATATATGGCAGCTGTCCGAGCAGACTGCCTGACACCATCTAATGGGAAACAGAAGTTGAAAAAGGCACCTGTAAGTTAAACAACGGCTGGGAGCTCAAAATAGCTTGTACTCCATCCAAATCAGCCTAGCAAAATTCATTGCAAATGTGAGTTAATGGAGACTAGCATTGACGTGCTCTCATTAAAAGGGTGGTTTCATTTGAGAGTTTCAAAGGGATCCAAATCCCACACAGCAGAAGTACAAGAGTTCGAAAACTTGTAGCCTGAATGATGAGCCTATTACATTCACCAGCAGATGGCTATGGAAAAAACATCACTGCCTGGTATAAACAAAACCCTGATCTATAAAAAAGACTGTTTTATGCCAAGGGCTGCTTTACAGCTTAGCAGAGCCTTTGGTACCTCATTAAAACCAAGCAGGTCACACTTCCACCTCTGGGTGCAGGGATTCAGATGCAGCCCAACCTGGGGGTGGGGATGGACAAAAGCTGCTTGTATCTGATGGCACCTTGCTGGCCACAGCCCAGCTCTCAGTGGGTCACTAACCATCCAGGTCCACAAAAGCCACTGCCACAGCTGGCGTGAACTGGGAGGTTTGCACTGGATCTTCTACCAGAACTATATTAAAAACCCTACCCGATTTTCATGTTTATAGATGGCAACTTGATCTGAGTTCCAGTTATATGGAGCTCTGTATCCTCAAGGACTCAAGTGCTTTGCCATCTGTATATACGTATACATATACATATACAGATGGCAAAGCACTTGAATACTTTTACATATATATGTAGTCTTCAGTTGCTCTTTTATTTTGGCATGGGGCATGGCTGAGATGCACGCTGGATGGTTTGTAACATATTGCATATATATTTCATCACAGGATACCCCTACTTTTGGGGTGGAGGGCAAAATAGCCAATTGCTACACAACACACTACATGACAGCGAGAAAAACAATCAGGTTAAGAAACTTGGAGAAAGCTTATTCTCTCAGGTGGAGGGTTAGGCACATCGTAATGTATGCAAAGACTGCACAGGACCTTTGTTTTAAGATCTTACTCTGAGGTCCACCAAGAGTAATCAGCGGGCCACATTACTACAAAATGAGCAGGCGTGTGCAATATGTTAAAAACAGTGCAGCGTGCATCTCAGCCATGACCCATGCCAAAATAAAAGAGCAACTGAAGATGACATTTTTGATTGATTGAAGCTGGTGTTAGGAAGATCTTGTTTGAAAAATCATTATGCAATCTATTAAAACAAATAGTTCAGGGAAATGGAATTACACTGCATATATCAATTCAATTTGCTCATGTCACAACAAAGATGATAGACAAAGGGGAGAGAAAAAGTACCAAACGATCAGCTTCTCCCTTTCTCTTCCCACCACACATGCATGCTAGTGCAGAACAGATGGAAGGAACTAACATTGCGTCGAGAGAGTAAAAGTGTCTGACTGTTTATTGGAGAAGAAAATTGAGACAGATGTCATGGTTATGTCATGTATTAAAAACAATCTGATTGTGACTGGAGAACTGGGATATTAAAAGGGGAAACCTTGGTGTCTTCCATGGCAAACAAGCACTTCTTTATCTTTCAGAATGAGGTGCAGGGGCTTTGGTGAGGGCAAAGGCCTGAAAACCTAAAAGAACTCTTGTCTATCTACAGCATCACAAAGTCATGTCAAGCGTGTGCTGCAAAGGTAAATTAATGACATGCAGACAGGATGGATTTCCTTTGGATCAACCATCAACAGCAAATCACAAACAGGTGGGACCAGATTCTCAGACACAGCCACAGTGCAAGGCATGTGAGGAAGGGACAGTGCATGGAAGTGCCTTAAAGCTCCCAGACACTACCATGGCCCTGGTGATATTCTCTGCAAAGTTGTCCGTTAAGTGCTACGTTAAAGCCTGAGGACCGGTCTTACTCACAATGAGTAGTAATAAGCACAAAGGGTGACTACATCCCCCAAGACCAGTGCAGGGACTGTCCTTATCACTTGGCACTCCCAGCAGCAGGTATGGAGCCCCAGCATTTGCTGTCCACTATTACACTTTTCCACTTGGGGGTGGAAATCCTTCTCGAGTCTCATAGACAAGGCTTGTGGTCCAAGCACAGTGGCAGTGAGGTTCAAGGCACCTGCTGGCACTTACGGATTGGATTCCCCCCTGCCTGGAACGTGGGACCAAATCCACAGTTGGTGTCAACTGGCATGGCAATTACGTCAGTGTGGTCACACATGGGCTCACAACGTGACCACCTGTTTCCATATGCAAACTGAAGCCAAGAGCCAGGACAGCAAGACACAGGGCAATGCAACTTGAGCTTTGATGGCTCCGCTATAAATGCGATAATGCAGAGGAAAATGTTAATCTGCAGGGCAGGTCTGATACTTACAGCACTGTGGGGCTCAATTTTTGGCCGTTCCATAGCAATGGTGATGCAGTTCAGGAAAATGATAACCAAGACGACATGATCAAACATCTTGTGAGTGATGATTTTATTGCACATCAGACGGAATCTGCTCAGAAAAAACAACACAGACACACTAGCTGTTAACAACTGACTGGCCGGAGATGAAGATACTCCTGTCAAAGCATCCATTTTATGCATGGCATACGAACTGAACTTTCTGTTTGACAAGCAGAGGCGTTACAACCTCCCAACTCCCTCCCTAGGGCAGCTGTCGGTGTTAGCAGATATTTCTCAGTCTGAACAGATAACGGCTCAGGCCGCAATAGACGGCTACAGGCCAGGAACAACACAATGTTCAAGGGTGGTTGGCTGGGTCTGGTTGACTTGGCTTATGGTTGAGAGAGCAGGCATTTGCAAAGCTGAGACCATCTAGTCAACTTTGGATTTCAGCGCACCCCTTGTCCTTGCAATCAAGGACTTTGGAGGTCTGGTCTATCCCTGCCTCTAGTTAGAAAACTAACCCCATTCCAGTATGGCATGCTATTAAACTCCATGCAGAAGAACAGAAGCTATACAGCGTGACAGGTGGCCGTACACCGACCCAGGTTTTATAATAAGGTATTACGTTTCTCAGAGTTGGTTTGTGAAAATCTAGGTAATCTCTGTATGAATGAGCTATAAGACTGATCCAAGCTTATTCACCCTAAAATGGGAGGTGCTCCCCAAGAACAGCTGGAGCATGGCATGAGTATTTGTATCATGGCACTGACGCCATGTGGCCGTGTAGCAGCTGAACTTGGGAAAGACCAAAGAATTTGGCATTGTGTTTCCCTGAGTAAGGGAGAGGCATTTCCTGCACCTGTGTCCAGGGCAATCGCAGCGGGCGCGACTCACATGCAGAAGAGGTAGAAGAAAGGGCCAGTTAAGGAGCTCCCAACAGAACTTCACATCTGTCTTCATATGTAGGTTCATGTTCTTAGAAACCAGGGTGTGAGCAGCTTCAAGCCAGTCTATTATGGACTGAAGGGCTGTTACCAGCATGCAAGAATAGGACTCTGATCCCATGACCTTTTGGATGCAACTTAACTTTCCCAGGCAGCAGGCAAACAGCTCCTCCCAATGTGCCATGATGGCAAAGCTTCTCATAGGCATCTTTTCTCTCTCTTGAGTAAAGAGCATGTTTGAATGAAGCAATGCCTGGGATCTGGCTATTGATTTGGGAGTTACAGCTTGTGCCCACAAGCCCTTAAGATCGAAGAGTCCTCTGTCCTTAGAGAGGATGTGGAGCTATATATGGCTCACCAGCCCTTGAAGGCTGATGGTTAATAACCAGGCTGATATGCTGTGCTGTGCCTCCAGGAGACAAAGCATGCGGCTGAGGGAAGAAGTGGCTTTATATTACTTTTGCACCCTCTAAATACTGGGCTGTTCCAGGGGCTGAAATGGCCTGATGAAAGGTTGGAGCAGAGGGCTGCTCTCTGAGCTGAGAACAGGGATGTCCCACCGCTACGCTGCGAGCTTTGGGTCCATCTTTGCCTCTGTTATTCACATGCCCTACCTCAGGGCTTACAGTAGCTCTGTGATGTAGCTGTGCTGCGGAAAAAGTCTTCCCACCCACTTACAGCTGCCCTGTATGGCCGTAGCTGGCCCATAGCTGGCATGCAGCCACTTCTCTGATCCTTGAGGTCTCGGGGCACCGTGGCCCACTGTACCTGGTTACCTTCAGTGTTACCCGTAGTTATTGCACTGTTACTATTCAGAGGTGCAGTTGCCTTACTTAGAGTGAGGAGCGAAGATGTAGATAGACCAAGAATCTCTCTCTTTGCACCAGGTGGGCAGACGGGCCTGTATCCAAGCCTTCGCACGGTCTCGTTTGCTCTAAAAGAACAACAACAGCTATACAGCGAGCGGTAATCAGTTATTCTGAGCGACTGCAACACCCATCCGCCATGGTCTGAATCCCAGACAAGCCAAATAACCAAGCGTGAAACTCTCGAGACACCTTAATTTCTCCCCCTCCCCGTCAATCCAGAGCTGTCACAGCAGCATGGCAGGTCTGCACGCGGAGGTCATTTCTGAATGTCACGTCTCGTGTGCACAGCAAGGTTAAAACAATAAAATTGTCAGCGTGGGTAGGCAGGCCCTGCTGCGGCCCTCGCAGATGGATTGATGATACCTAGCAGTGCAGCAGGGTGGCTCCACGTGCAGAGATGCCGTAAGTGCTCTTGCGTAAAAGGGGCGGGAGGACAAACAGTCAAGGAAAGCCACGGCGCGGACATGCCTTGTGCCCGGCAGCCACTTGCCATCACCGCTCACACCTGGAGATCACGTTTTAAAGAGAAAAGCAGAGGGAGCTATACGGGCCTTCAATATTTGGTGAAGTCACAGCGCGTATGGAGGGGGGGAGGGAAGGGGGGATTGCCTTTGCTAAGCAGTCAGCAATGCTAATTGTCAGCTGGACAATCACCCCGCTGCATATGGGACTGCCGTCCCAGAGGGAAAGGGGGGAAACTCCTGCAGCCAAGAATGGAAGCTTGTCCCACAAGAGTCCGGGACTATTGACAAGGCCTAGTCGGGCTCCAGGGGTTCAGTATTTTATTTTGCATGGCACCATAATGGCATATGGCCCACATCGGTGGATCTCAACCTTTTTAGATTCAAGACGGCCCTTGCAAGTCTTCTGAATTCGGCAGCCCTCTGCTCCGGACCCACTATTGTGCCACCGCAGCTGTCCTCAGTGCCCCTCAACTGCGGAAAGGCAGCTGCTGTCGCTTCAGCTAGCTAAACGTGCCCTGCAGATACTGCACAGAGCCAGGGCAGGAATGCCTGAGGCATGGGTGTGCACTCCTGCTGGCATTAGGTAAATGTAATGCTGTGTGCATCACAGCGTTTCCTGATCTGGCTGCGCATGTGGGATGCAGGGCACTTTTAGCTGGTTGCAGCGGCTGTGCCTGTGCCATGGCTGCCAGCCATGTGGGGAAAGCCACATCACCCTAGCTGAGAACCACTGGCATGAAGCAGACTGGCCGGACAAACAGATATACTAGCCCTGGCCTGAAGAGCCAGAAACCAGCCCTGGTCAGCTGCAGGCCTTTTGCTTACTTCACAGATGCTTGCTGGAATCTTTTAAGGTTTAATTGTAAAGTAAAAAAAAGAGGAAAAAGAAAAAAAAGAGAACCTCGAGGGCTCCCATGAGTGCAGCCAGCACCTCTGCCTGCTAGACAGTGCACCAGTATGGACTAGGAAGAATTGCCTAGGACTTCCATTTTGCTCCATGAGCACAACACTGAGATTTACAAGATTATGAAGGCCAGAAGGGACCACTGCAGGCCTTTAGCCTGACCCTCTGCACCACACAGGCCCTGGGACCTCCCTGAATTAAATTCTTGTTGGAACTAGAGCCCATCCTGTAGTAGAAGAGCCAGTCTGATAGATGCTCCTCTTTTCCAGCAATGTCAAGGTGCCTTAAGGAGCGGAGGATGGATTCGGGGGCCTTAGCCTTATGTCCATGGGAGCTAACGAGAGGCTGCCCATTAACCTCAATGGGCTTTGATGCTTGGCCCTCAGTGTCTGGCTGGAAGTGAAATGCAAATCTAACATCACATGCATCTTCCCCTATGTAGCGCCATCTGTAAAGCAACTAGAAGGGCACCTGCCCCTGAAGGCCAGAGCGCAACACCTCCGCCGTGGGTATGCTCAGAGCAGGTTGCCCAGGAAGGTCTGTGCTTTCACACCCATTTCCCAACGCAATGACCTGCTCAAGCTTGCCCAGAGGATGAGTGGCTGACCCAGCAGAGAGGTGCCCTACCTAGTAGACCCTGCCACCTCCAGCAGCCCCCTCTACAGGGTATCAAACAAGGGAGGGTAAACATTTCTGCTTTAAACAGAAGACGCCGTCTGCCTCCCGAGCTGCACGCTTAGCGATTGGAGGTAGCCTAGAACGTAAAAGCCAGAGCTGTCAGGGTAACTGAGTGGAATGGGTGAAATGCTTTCTGTTCCCCTATGCACTCAGCCAGGAGTCTCATTAGAGACAGGTAATAGAAAGCGTGGTGTCCGCTTTAATGAAAACGCCTGGTGACAAACCGAACCCTTTGCAAGCCACCTTCTGAAGGTAATGAGGACAGTTTCGATAAAGAAAAGTTTGATTTATTCCCACTTCCACCCACCCCAGCCCTATAAAAGAAGGTTTCATAACTTATTCATTGTATTCGATTTTTACCCCCATAGGGGGAGGAAGAGAGTCAGGAAAGCTCCCACCTTTCCAAATCACATATCCATGGGTTTGTGTTAGCCCCTCAGCTAGCCTAGTTGGTTTAATAATCCAGATATTTAAAAAAAAAAAAAATCAGTGCCTGCTTTGAGCTCTAGACAGACCAGTGCTAGCGACCCCAGCCTCTAGGCATGGGGTAATAGCTGCAATTGGTCCACTTCAGTTTGTAGGCTGGACGGATTCCAGAAGTCTCTATTATTCAAAGCAGTTCTGGTATTTATCTTGGGGATTTGTAGTGAATGGTAGTGCGTCAGCAGCACAGAATGCTTCTTTATGCTCCTTTTGTCCAATTTTTAATGCCAAAGATATTTTGGGTTTCATCTAATTGTTGCAGCTAGCAGTTCATAGGCTAAACCAGACAACAAAGGAGAAAAGTGATCTTCCAGCCTGTCCCTCTATTTAATATAACCAGTGGGGATGTAGATCCCCCAGTCACCAGCTGTGGTTTCCTCAAATAGGACCATGTTCTGTTCCTTGCTATGCTGGTGTAAATCTGGAGTCTAGGGGATTACCCCATTTACACCAGTGGTAATTTGAGCCAAATGTAAATTTTTGTGAAATAAAAAACGAACGCTTCCAGCCTACTCGCTCCCATCAAGTGCTTTCTCTGGAAAGTCCAGACACACAACATTGCTTACAATCAGCCTGATTGCTGCCTGAGTTGGCATTATGTTCAAAGAGATATATCAATTATGTTGTTTAAATCATATCCATTTGTTCATAAAACACACCTGCACAGGATGGATTAAGATGTGGAAGAAGAAGGACGAAGAGAAAAAACAGGAATTTAGTTGCTAATTTTAGACAAAGTGGTATGTACATAACCCTGCTGGCTAGCGCAGGTGAGATTCACTCTGCACTCGGTGCTCTGCCCAGATAACAAAATATATGCCCAAGTGGTTGATTTGGTGGAGGAAGGGCATGTCTAACTCACTGATATTAAATGGCATTTCCTTTGTGTATCAAAGAGGGAACAGAGCACCCTTCAGATGCTGCACTGATGAGACCTACCGCTAAACAGTTCCTGGATTAGGAATTTCATTTATTAATGTGCTTTGGAGAGACGAAGGAAAGCATGTTAGCATTAGAAGATGACTGATACACTTCTTGGGGTAATGGAGAAAGTCTGATCTATACAAGTTTTATTACAGGAAAAGAAATCTGCTGAATACCTATCTCTGTCTAGCACCTGACCTGAATGCAAGCTAAAAGCTGTATTGTGAGTCTCAGGCCTTGGTTATTTAATTCTAAACATTTAGGAGGAGAAGGCTGAGACAACATTGTGAGTGTTGATCTGCTGTTACAGAAATAGTGCAAGACAGCCAAAGATGAAAGCAGATGTAAAAGTGCAAATGGAACGATTCGCACTTTGCATGAGGGAGGAGGGAGCTCTGTTTGAAGAGCCTCTTGGTTTTAGACTATGTAGGTTCCTTGCTTGCCCTCCTGGTTTTCAGTCATTTAGTTTCACATGAAAGGGGATTTTTTTTTGTTTGTTTGTCTGAAGAATGGGGAAATTTTACAGCCGGCGTGTGCGCTGATGTGACAAAAAACAGGCTCAGCAGATTTGAACAGGTCAGATCTGCATCTCCGTCCTGCCTGCACAAATCCAGCATCATAGCAAGCCACGATCAGAGTGGATTTATTCCAAATGTGCACCAGTGCAATCAGGCACAGAAGTGGTTGTATTTTGTGGAGAAGAGATAATGGACTTCATTCTGGTTTCACACACGCCAGTGTAAACTCACTGCAGACAGGGTGCAGATACCAGTGTGAACTGGAGCAGGGAGCTCAGACTCAGCCCTTGCTCTTCTTTTTATTTCAGTGCAGAAGTGATCAAATACATCCAGCAGCCAGTCCTTGTTGAGCTTTACTTAAGTATCCACTTAGCCCTCATGGGTCATTTTGATCCAAATAGTCCCCCCTCTCCCCCCAGAAATGTCCCACCAGAAATGGGAGCTCAGGAAACTGATGGCTTGGTATTATTTCATTAATTTAAGTGCTATTTCCTAGTAACTCGGGTTTTGCGATTTGCAAAGTACGTAAGTTGTAGCATGAAAAAGCACAGGAAACCGAGTTTTTATGGAAGGCTAAAACTAATAAAGAGGAAAGAACTATGACTCTTATTCTGCAATTGTATAGCACTTCTCACAGGTCCTCAAAGAAGTTTACAAACTATTACCAAGAGCAGCCATGAAATGCAGCCACTTCTAGGGTGGAAGAACATCAGTCAAGCTGATGATCCACTACTACAGCACTAGGCAACAAAGCAGTCAAGAGAAACTTTGGCAAAGTACATCAGAGCGAACCCAGCTCTTAGAAACATTGCTACAAGCGGGGTCTTTAGTCAGCTTACAGCAAACATTTATACTGTGTTCAGTTGCTGATCACCATGGTATCTGAGCAGCTTAATATACATGGAAAGCACACAGGCTTCATTTTTAAAGGTCTCATTTGAGAGATGCAAAACACAATCTGATTCAGAAAGTCATGGCAGGCAGTTACCAGTTTATTAGCTGCAGGATGTAAAGAAAGAGATCCTTCACGCTCTAATGCATCCCTAACATTGTTTGCTTCAGGTAAGGTGGAAAAAAAAAAAAATCTGGCTTTGAATAGGACAGGAGAATGAAAAGACTCCAAGCTAGCAATAAGAGCACGGTCTTTTGATTATGTTAATAATGCTTCTTTCAGGAGCAATTAAACCTCCATGTCTTAAAAATGCAATTCGTCTTGTAGCAAGTTAAGAATCAGGTTAAAACGCTCAGTTAAAATGATATCCTGAGAATCCATATATAAGAGGCAGTAGGATCATTTTTTTGAAAAAGGAGATTTCCGGATGGTGGCTGTTTTGGGCAGAAGAACCTTTCCTTTTCCTTGGTAAGTGCTTTGGAATAATGTTGGCCTTCAGCATCGATTTTTTCACAGCTTCATGAGCTACACTAAAATATGCCCATGATCTGTGGCTTTTCAGGCTTCAGTATTGCTCTCGTTGCTTGGAAAACAATTACTGTTCACCAACGTTCATCCTAACGCCACAAGGCCTACGTACTTTCACAGCCATGCTGGTTGCTCAGGGTTCTCAGTGCCCAGGACGGTAGACCGGCCAGCGTTTGTGCTGTGCTGCGGTCTCTCTGTCCAGCCAACTGTAAGCATTTCAGGTACTGGCTAGTGCAATGCCTTTTCCTGTCCAAGTATGGGTGACCAACAAGCTTTATCTCCTTTCTCGGACTGCAGTTGGGTCACCGCCCATCCTATCAGGTTTGCTGGTCTCTTGAGGCCTGGACTAAAAAGCCAATTAAAAAAAACATCACCAAATGAAGGCGCCTCCAACCCAGACAGCTGGTTTCCTCCAGCAATTTATCCCATACACAGTCATTCTGCCCTAGGAAAGTAACCGAGCAAGCAACCAAATCCTCCCCCGTTTTGGCAAGGTGACTCCCACAGCCCTAGTCTTCCTCGTGGTTGGGGAAAGGAGAGGTCTTTCCCCCCTGCCCTACCTATTCCTTTTCCTACCCAGCAAGACAATCAAGGCCTTGTGAGCTGATTGGGTGCCAGAAATACCTATTACTCAAGGTCTCAGAAGACTTCCTCGTTCACAAGGCCCATCGGTCAACCCTATCGTGTCTGCCCATGGGCTCCTCCCCCTGCTAGTCTGGCCTTTTAGGCACCTTCCTGCAGATCAGGATTTTCTGCCCTGGACAATGAATCACACTCAGTCCTTTCTGTCTTCAGCGTGAGACTCAGTGCAAGCACTTTTATCATCAGCATCAATCCTGATGCCATCATACTCAAGGGAAACAAAACTGGTGAGTCCATCAGGCACATCAATTTGTGACAGGAACATGAAAACCATTACCCTAAATCTCATCAGGTTATGACAGTTAATTGCCAATTTCTCTCTCTTGAAAACTAATTTTACCTGGTTGCAGAGCTCACCCAGCTGTCTGAGAGCAAAGGCAGGCTCACAGCACAGGAAAAGACTAGACCTCTGGCTGAGCTATGTAAGGTTTAGGCTTTTTTTTTTTATTAGCAAATTGCCGTCACGGATTATTGTGTGTCATGGTGTTTGTAGCATGTTTCTCTGGATGAGGAGTGAAATTCTACTGATGGAAGATGTTTCAAGGTCTTGTTTAGTCTTGGCAACCCCATGCAGGCTTTGCTAACATAATAGAAAAGGCCAGGGATGAGTGTTGGAAAAGTTTGCAATAAATGAGATGTTCGTGTCATATTTATACTCATGCTGCTTTGGGAGGTAGAATCCCAGGAGCCCTTCTGTGCTCCTCCAGAAGCTGAGCCAAATCATCACTGTGTAGGAAAGCCTGTCTGCAAATCTTTATTTCATTAGTTGCCTTCCACATCTGCTTATTGCCCAGAGGCCAAATGCGGCACTGGCTTCGCCCCTTACTATTCCCTTTGCTTCACTGGATGAGGTGTAGGCTAGCTCACAGTTTACTTCTTTGTATTTTAGCTGCATATTTAGTGCTGATGAAGTTTCTCTGTGGCTTGAACTACTCTGGCATTTACACAAATTGAGCGGTGGCATCTTAGTGGCAATTACAGGCATTCATTTGAAAGCACAGATCCGGGGAATATGTAAAACTGGAGATGACTCTTCAGCACTTCGCATCTCTAATCAGCTCAAAATTACAGCTGATTTTCCTTCTCCCCCTGCCATGCTTTTTAGCTACCATTTCCTAAGTGGCACTTTTCAGACCTATGAAAGAGAGACACTTATTGGACTAATGCCTCTTCATCTTGAAATTAATGCAAAGCTTAATGCTGCCTCTATGAGACTAATGTCTCCATGAGACTAATGGACCAAATTCTGCCCTTGTATCTCCTGTTTATGTCAACAGAAATTCCCCACTTTATCGCAGAGAAGAATTCAGCCTTGTAGCTGGAGAAAGGGCAAATTATCGCGCTCTCTCATTAAAAAGAGATGCTATTGATATAATCGAAAGACCAGCAATGTGCAAGCCCTTGGCCCACGGCACTGGGCCCTACCTCGGTCTGTCTGGTACCTCTCTTGGGATTGTGGAGTACCACAAAGCTCCTCTGCTAGTGCTCTGGAGGCTGTACCTTGCTCTCTTCCTACTTTGCCTGCTTCCCTTTCTTCACAACAGCCAGCCAGCACACATGCACTGACTAAGCCCAATGTTACAGGGGAAATACACAGTCATATAAGCCAGGTTATATCTTCTGCATCTACAGTGTAACTGGAAACAAAAGTCTAACCAGTGGAACCAGACATGCAGCTCAGACTTGCATCATAAAAATGTCAGTGCTTCACTGCGTTGGCCGCAGGTCTAGCTAGCCCAACATCCTGTATCTCACAATAGTAGAGAGTGCTAAAGGGGAATAGTATATATTATGCAGGTCCTATCCAGACTCACTGGTCTCCTGCCCTCTTCTGCTACAGCTTTCAACATTCAGGGACCTAGGAAGTGCTAATCTGGAGGCCACACCACTAGCCATCATATTTAATACCCACTGGTGGACCTGTCCTCCAGAAGCAGCATGCAAAATGCAAGGTTCCTCATATCTGGTATCACTGGGCTTTCCCTGAAGCTCAGGAGCTCATCAATCCAAGCTAACTATAGTGTGGGAGGGGGCAGCTGGTGTTTACAAGACCAAGAAGTGTTGCACGCTCCCCTTCAAAGTGCATCCACAGCTCAAACAACATTTTCGCCTGTCCTGGCACTGAGAATATTATTCAAAAGCCAAAATTTCAGTTTGCAATCTTTACCCC